TTTAAAAATCCAATTTTTGAGCTAGAATGCTCTTCTTCGTACTTGATCTGTCTTTTTATGACACAAAACGACCCTGAAAATCCCAGGTCGCTAGCCCTATTTGTTCTCGAATTATCGTGCGCACAGACAAACACACAGACACACACACACACACAGACAGACAGACGCGAAACTTTTTGATCATCACTGGAGTAATAGGCTTCGCTATCGCTCAGCCAATTAATTCTTATAGCAGATTGCGAGTGCCCGGTGGCTGCGTAAAAAAATTCTTGATAATTTGTGCAAAATTTTAATCTCTGATGAAAGAGTGCATATATTGTTTGACTCTGCTAATCAGTTTTGAGTTTTCTTAGGAGCCATGTGTCTCTTGCCTTAGGAGCTATGGATTGATAATATTTGACTAGCAGTAGTGTACAGCTCAAATTATGCTAGTCAGTACAAACCTTCAAACGTTGCTTGACACTACTCAGACCACACACATCATCCCAATGGACATTCCGTGACACCTGAATTAGGGACAATACTTTTTTGACCATTTTCTCATCCAAGCCACTGTTGTTGTGCATGACTCTTTCGAAGGATAAGCTGCTATTGCTGAGATTAGTGATCTTTGAAGCTGCAGGTGGAACCTGAAATACAATATTTCTCTGTTAAAAGAATGCGATAGCTGTTTTACACATGATTCAGTGACACAACCTCATAACACATGACTACTTTAAAATTATGAGCAACATTAAATATATATTATGATCAAAACATTAAATGCATGAAATACCTTGGGCTGGGTTGGTGTACATTTAGGTTTAATTATTGTCTCTTCTCTCCAGTTGGTAGCGTTTTTACTTTTCCTTTTACTGATTTGATTAGTACTTTTCCTTTTCCTCACATTTTGCTCGTTCTTTTTATCAGCAGGGCCGCCCTCCTCATCACTCTCAGATGAAATTGATATAGCAGATGTCATTATGGGCGTGTTGGCAGATGACCTCAACCTCTGTTTGATGTTTGAATCATCAGAAGAGGGTAATGCAGGAGGGGTAGGGGATGAAGATGGGGCAGCACAGGATGAGGACATTGATTGAGTGAATATGGGGATGTTTGAAGAAGTTAATGAAATAGATGGGATGGAAGTAGTGGTTATAGAAACTGGTTCAATAAGTGTAGATGAGACAGAGGAAGTTACTGTAGAGGATGAGGATTGAGCGGGGAGGACTACCTGTGGAGAAATTGGTTCAAGTGTTGTACATGAGACAGAGGAAGCTGCTGTAGAGGATGATGAGGAAATTGATGCAACTGGGAGTGAAGAAGGGCTGCTACAGGATGTGGAAGAAGTGGATAAAGGTAAGTGATGTGGGGAGCGGAAAGAAGATGGGGACAAATGTGCACGGGGAGCAAAATGAGGTGAAGACAGAGTATTGGTGCTAGAGGGGTGGCGGAAGGTATTGGAAAAATGATGATGAAAAGAAGGACGAGCAGGCAATTGATGTGGATGGTACTGGAGTGGAGGATGGTACATTCCTGGATATGGCATCGGCATCCTGAGACGAGGCGCTGGTGGTCCAAAGAACTCACCACGACCACGAGGTGCTGGCGGTGGCCCTTCGAATCTTCGATACGACATTTCTGTAAAAAAGATGTAATCTTGTGACCAGCCCGACAAGAACCATCCAAGCAGATGCCTACGTAGGCAAAGTATACTTTTAAATGACAAAAACAACAAACATACCTCGCTTAATGTTGGTGCAGATATCCAATTAAAAGATTTTAAGTACACGACATGTACTTTTACTTTCACGGACACGGAGCTGCTGCAGGTATGGTGCTGGCGCTTGCCGCGTTTTCCCCTGTTGTTTTTGTTAATGTTACTGTTGTTTTGTTAGCCGCAACAAAACAAATGCACTTCGGGATGAGAAACTAGCTTATGAAAAATAACCCCAGCAGAAAGCTAGCTTGTGTAGAAGTGTCGACACATTGAAGAAATCGAGTTCGGACACTCTCTTTCATGGCTAGTTCTATGGTTATATGCGGCCGTGCAAATATCCACTCCCAATTGTGAGCACATTTCAATCAGAACCTGGTTGTGAAATCAGAATCTGTCGAAGTGGAAGAGTTTCCCAGGAGACTATACTGACGATCATAGTGTCCTGGGAAGCTATACAGCCAGACAGCAGAGCAGGTCGCAAACTGATGTTTGAAGTTTAAATTTGAATTGACAACACCTCCTGGACCATTTCATTGTGAACGTGAAATTATTCAAACGGTTCCGTCAGCTAGGTATTTCTTTATTTTTTAAAATTTAAACATCACTGTCGACGGTGGTTGGAACGCGGCCATTTGAAATGCGAAATCCACATTGAGGAAGATAGCCTTTGAGCTTTGTGACCTGAGAGTTAAAAATACTACTTGGTATGGTTTTTAATTGCGTATTACAGTTAGAACCCGATCTCAAGTCTCACGTAATCATATGTGTCTAGCGGGTCTTGCGTTGGTGGTTGGCAGTACCGTGCGCCCCACTCCTCGCTGCCCCCTCTCTCCTCACCTGTTGTTCGACCGTTGTTCGCTTTCGCTTTGTCGGTGTCTC